CCTTCCCTGTAGCGTGGCCGAGCTGCTCTGCTGTGCGCCGTGCCGGCCGGACTGACAGGAAGGAGTGTGCACTTCCTGTCAGTCCGGCTGGTGACAGGAAACAGAAACTCCTGTTCCGCGCGGAGTTTCTGTTTCCTGTAACCGGCCGGACTGACAGGAAGTGCACACTGAGTGTGCACCTTCCTATCAGTCCGGCCGGGCACCGCGGACAGCAGAGCAGCTAGGCCACGCTACAGGGGAGGGGAGAATATGTGCTGCAGCCGCCTGAGCGCTCAGGCGGCTGCAGCATTTAAATGGCCGGCCCTGCAGCGGCCGGTCCTGACAGAATTAAGGGCGGCCTGGGGGGCAATTGCCTCCCTGCCCCCCGGCCCAGCCCGCCCCTGCCTTGCACACAGAAAAACACTCAATGCATTACACACACACACACACAGAAACAATGCAACCCTTACACACAATGCATCCCTTACACATACAGAAACACACAATGCATTCCTTACACACACTCAATGCACCCCTTACACACACTCAATGCACCCCTTACACACGCACACACTGCATCCTGTACATACACAGAAACACACCTTGCAGCCCTTACACATACAAACACAGATTCACACAATGCATTCCTTACACACTTTTTAGGACATCCCCTACACAGTCCAGCCCCTGTGAACAAACTCATTGGTGGAACATGAAGGTGGACCCTGGGACTCAGACCTTGAGCTGTGTAAAGGGCCCCCAAAAAATGGAGCTGCTTACCGTTCTCCCAGAACATTGATTTTTGTGACCACAGTTACAAACAGCCTCCAGAGAGCCTGTTCTACACCAGACCAGTGGAGCCAGACTGCAGCTAGAGCCCATCATCATCCTCATCTCGTTGTAAGAAGGCAATCTAGTATATTATTCGTGGCACTAATCTATAATTTACCTCACATTAAAGAAACACTATAGTCCCCAGAACCACTGCAGCTTAATGTAGTTGTTCTGGTGTCTATAGCCTGTCCCTGCAGGCCTTTTAATGTAAACACAGCGGCACTGCAGCACTGGCGTTAGTTAACATGGCAGATCATATGGGTGGAGCATTGTGATGTCACATGAGAGGGGGTGGGCGGCAAATTTTACTTTTGCCTAGGGCGGCAAAAATCTTTGCACCGGCCCTAGTGACACTATAGTGTTAGGAATACAGATTTTATTTTCTGTTCTTTTAACCATGAGAGTGCTGACACATTCCTACCACTCCAGGAGGATATGTAACTAACCTACATAATATATGGTCTTGTCAAGGTGAAGAAGAGCTGCACCATATTTTTATGTATATCCTTCCCCAATAGCTGAGCATAAGTGATTATAACTGCAGTAGGAGGTAGAGGAATAGTGTAGATGAATGCAGCTTCCAAGATGATTCTCCCCAGCAAATAGAATATTCCCCAAACATGAGCCTAGACTTCATGAAGGGTGTAACAGGAATGAAGTTTATTTATGACACACTGGCTTTTATGAGAAATCCTCCTGCAAGAGGACCTCCCACAGTAAACAAAGACAATAACCAATCAACATACAGCTTTACAGTAACCCCCGCTCTTTCTCTGTCTGAGAGATATTGAGATAAGTTAAGGAATAACCCAATTATCTCCAGGCAGAGGGCACACAATTTTCCCAAAAGTTAGAACACCCCTTTCCACACAAGGTATCCCCACAAATTACATATCCCCTGATAGCCCCGATCTGGGGGACCAAAATATCCAAATTTCACCCAGATCGGTTAAGGGGTTCTTAAAAAGTATGGAAGTCACAAGTTACCGACCACACACGAGGCTCTTGCCCAAAACAGTTCCACGAATTCAGCGTGTGCGGTCGGTCAATTCAGAAAAAGGCATAAAACGAAGAAAAGTCCCGAATGGATCCTCGTGGCTCATAGGAGTGATTGCTCCCCTTGTCCGTATGAACAAAACTACCGAATGGCGCTCTCCTGGCTGTTCGGCAACTAAAGGAAGCAGGCGATCGGTAGTTTCAGCGGTGGTTCGGGAGGTCGAGTGTCTGATTTTAGTTCCAGACACTCGACGACCAAGTCCCGCTGCCTCCTTTCGTGAAAACAAGATGGCCACCGTTTTCTGTTCCACGTGGAATTCGGCTATACGAACAGCGGCCACTCAGAGCGCTTCTTTTGAAGTTGATGAGCCAGGAGGGTGGTCGTGTGTTCGGTAGTTTTAAACTACCGAACCAATAGATTCAACATGTACAAAATACTGCAGAAAAAGCCCAAACATAGGAGAAAGTACCGAACTAAGTCTATTTTCTTCACAGTGTGTAAGGGATGTATTGTGTTTTTCTGGTTGTGTGTGAGTGATGCATTGTGTGAATTTGTGTTTGTATGTGTAAGGGATGCAAGGTGTGTTTCTGTGTATTTAAGGGATGCAGTGTGTGTGTCTGTAAGGGGTGCATTGAGTTGTAAGAGATGCATTCTGTTTCTCTGTGTGTGTGTGTAAGGGATGCATTGTGTGTTTCTGTGTATGTGTGCAAGAGATGCATTGTCATTGTGTTTGTGTGTGTGTGTGTGTAATGGATGCATTGTGTGTTTCTATGTGTGTAAAGGAAGCATGGTGTTTTTCTGTGTGTATTGATGCATTGTGTGTTTCTGTGTATGTATAGGGAAGCATTGTGTGTGTGTAGTGTGAAATAGTTTGTGGGGTAGGATAGGGACTCTCTTTCCCCTCTTCCTCAGCCTCTCTCCCCTCCTGTCCTTTAGGGCTCTCCCCTGTCCCGTAGTGAGCTCCCCTGTCCCTTAGTGATCTCCTTGCCCCCTTTCCTGTATTGCGCTCCCCTCCTGTCTCTTAGAGTTCTCCCCTCCTGTCCCTTAGAGCTCCCTGTCCCCTGTCCTTTAGAGCTCTCCCCTGCCCCTTAGTGGTCTCTCCTACTCTGTCCCTTAGTGGTCTCTCCTCTCTCTGTCTCTAGGTGGATTCCCCCTTTCCTCTCCTCTCCACTTAGTGGTCTCTCTCCCTCTGGTCTCTCCTCTCTATTAGTGGTCTCTCCTCTCCCACTTGTGGTCTCTTCTCACCCCTGTCCCTAGTGGTCTTTCCTCCTCCACCCTCTCTCTGCTTTGTCCTTAGTGGTCTCTCCTCCTCCACCCCCTCCCTCCCTTAGTGGTCTATCCTCCCCCCACATCCCCATTAGTCTCTCCTCCACCCCCTCCCTCCCTTAGTGGTCCTCTCCTCCAACCCCCTCCTTACCCCTCACCCTTAGTGGTCTCTCCACACCCCCACCCTCCGATATTGGTCTCTCCTACACCCCCCCTTAGTGGACTCTCTCCCTCCCCTACCTCTATTGTAGCGTGGCCAAGCTCCGGTTCAGGAGCTTGTTTCCTGTACCCGGCTGGACTGACAGAAAGTGCTCACTGAGTGAGCACTTCCTGTGAGTCCGGCCGAGTACAGGAAACGGATGCTCCTGTACCGTGGACCAGAGCAGAGTTCAGCTACGCTACACATAGGGACTGGCAGGAGGGAGTGCTGTGCGCTTCCCCCCTGCTGATCCTTCATAACTTGCGCCCCCAGGCCGGTGCACCCTAATGGACGCGCCGGCCTGGGCAGTGCTGCAGCCGCCAGATGCTCTCTATAGAGCGCACAGGCAGCTGCAGCATTTGAGGAGCCGAAGTCGCCTATAGGATGCGCCGGTCCTGTTGACAACTTACCATGCCTTCTTCATATATTTCCCCAATGTGTGTGGAATGCTCGCTGAACGAGTGACAATGCCTCTTTGTGAGTTTTTTTTTTTTAGGGGTATAGATTATTGCATTTTGCCTTCGCCATCCATTCATAGCTTGCCGACTTCATTCTATCCAGGCTACTGTCCTGTGTATAGCTGCATTGAGTGCATTCTATCTCCCCCCTGTCCTCGCGGTACCTGAGGGCCATGTGGTATGGCAGGCAGTGATTGGTGAAATGCGGCTGCTAAATGATCCTGATAAGCGCGTGATCCCAGCAGAAGACTGCAGGTCAGAATACTCATGTGTTTTATTGTTAAACCAATATACCCTGTACTGCCACTAATGTACATACTAGGAAAGATCTCTAGGTATTTGATTCTGCGTGTTTAAAAAAAAAAAAAAGACTTTTCGAGTGTCTGTGTGAAAAAATGTGTGTGTGTGTCAATGAGTGAGTGTTTGTGTCAAATCAGTGTGAGTCTGTTAGTATGCATGTGTCTTTCAGTGTGTTTTAAATCAATGAGAGTGTGTCTGTCAGTGTTTGTCAAATCAGTGAGAGTCAGTGTGTAACGGATGGACGGGCACCCCGACTGGGTACCTCCGTTGAAGGATGCTCCTAGCGCTTCCTGAGGGCTCCAAGCACTCTAGCAGACACCACAACCACCGCAGGCCAAACCTCTCTTCAATCAGAGCGAAGCAGGAACATGCTCTTACAAGAGCTTAGTGATTTAGCAAGGGAGCATGACAAGCATAGCAATCCCTTGTAGCAGATTCCCCCAATAAGAGACAGCACTCCAAATTGAGGGTGAAGTAGAACTGACTGTACTGGCACATACAGCCTCTTTTATTCACATTCTACAAACATAGTACTGCCCACAGGGTTTTGAAGAACAACCAATCAACACATTACAACACAGCTAACACTCCCATTCATTACATCAGAAATCCTCCCCTCTGCCTGTGATACAATTATCTCAACACAATAGACTAACTTAATTATCACAGGCAGGAAAATACAGTATTATAAAACATATCACAGGAACCCCAAAACATGCAATAACCCCACAAAAAATATTTCCTCCGGGGGATCTGGGTGAACCACATATCCAAAATTCACCCAGATCCGTTCAGTAGTTTGGAAGATACGGTTTAATGCAGATTTCGCAGAACATATACAGGCTATATGAAAAATACTTACTGTTAAATGTGTCCCCTGTTCTGTAGTTTAAAACTACTGAACGATGCCTTTGTGCACCAAATACCGTTGAGATGGCACTGTGTAGAAAAGTCAAAACAGTGTCTGTGAGTTAAACTGGCCACCATCCATTGTTCTCACCATGTGCTTCATCCATTGTTCTCACTATGTGCCTCTGATACATGAAATGGTGGCCACCCAGTAACTCCACAGTTTGTCTGGTAGTCTATCCAGCCGAAACAACAGGTTAAACACATGGGGAACAGTGCAACAAACGAAGGGAATCATAAAAAATATGGACGATAGTCACAGGGCTCAAATAGTGTTTTCAAATGCCATATATCCCAGGGCCATAGTCAGAAGGTAGGAGGCGGGCAAGCAGCCCCCTCCAAGAACACGTTGCGAGGTCTGTTCCGCCACATTTCTCCCCTTTACCCACCAGACTAACAGGGTATCTGACCTCCTGCCGATCAGTACCCTGGTTAGTCCAGCAACCCACCCACCCATGAAAATTGGTTACTACACCTGGGGTAGTGGGTCGCTTGTCCATGTCCAGGAGCTCCACCTCGGCTCTGGGGGGGGTACTAGCACTCTGGATCGGTGGGTTGCTGAGTGGGCAGAGACCAGCGGTTCTCTGCCCTGTGTCAGCGCTACCACAGGAGTAGCCTGGTTGGAGCCCAGGTGAGGGAACGGCGTAGTAGGCTCCTCACTCTGGACCTGGGGCTGCTGCTGGAGGGGAAGCCAGGCTGTCTCCCCTTTGGACGAACAACCCTGCTGCTGGGGGACAGGACCGACCATCCCTACCCCTTGTGATGCATGTGTAGAGACCACGGTCCCATCTGCATTGGTGTGGGGCTTAGCATCTCCCCTTTGTGGGCTAGGCTGCCGCTGGGGAGGTGAAATGATGGTCTCCACTCCCAATAGAATACGCTGCTGCTGGGGAGTAGGACCGACTGTCCAAACTCCCTGTAGCTTGGGCTGCCGCTGGGGAAAAGGGGTAACAGGCTCCTTTCCCGGAAACACTCTCTCTCGCTGGAGAGGGAGACCGACAGTCCCCCCTTCCAATAAATTGTCCTGCTGCGGGGAAGTGAGACCGACTGTCTCCCCTTCCAATAACATGCTCAGCAGCTGGGGAGTGAGACCGGTTGTCTCCCCTCCCTGTAAGGCAATCTGCCGCTGGGGAGAGGGACCGCCTGTCTCTTCTCCCAATAACATACTTGGCGTCTGGAGATGGAGGACGACCCTCTCCTCTCCTGGTAACACACATGGCTTTTGGGGAGGGAGACCGACTGTCTCCTCTCCCAATACATTGTCCTGCGGGGAAGGAAGACTGACCGCCTCCCATTCCAATATCATATTCAGCCGCTGGGGAGTGAGACCGGTTGTCTCCCCTCCCTGTAAAGCACTCTGCTGCTGGGGAGAGGGACCGCCTGTCCCTTCTCCCAAAAACACACTTGGCTGCTGGAGATGGAGGACGACACTCTCCTCTCCATGGGTTGCACGTGCACGCTGTGGAGAGGGACCGACTGTCCCCACTCCTAACATATCCATCTGTGGTTGGCAATCTGGGCTAGCTGCCCAGCATCCTTGTAGGGCCGGTGGAGAGACCTCGGTCCCCGCTCCACCTGCCAGCTGGGGTTCTTCCCAGGACCAGTCGATAAGGTCTCTCATCTCTGGGGCTGGTTGGGAAGTAGGTGGTACAGAACCTAGGTATCCGGATGACGGGCTTAGTTGCTGGGGAGGAGGGACGAAACCCAGCGCTCCCGATGGTGTACAGTCCATAAGCCCCATCATGTCAGAGGCAAGCGGTGTCACTTGATCATATAGGCAAGCATAATCCTGTTCCATCTCCCACTGCTCTGGCGGTACCTGCAGGGTATAGGGTTACTGACTGGAGCTGATCAGGTGCTGGTAATCCTGCTCAAGTTCCCATTCCTGGACAGCCAATTCAATCAGGTCTGGCCTTAGGTCTTCAGCCATAGGGAGATCTAGCATGGCCTCTCTGTAGTCAAATATGTCCCAACTGCGCAGGCCGGGTGGAGGTATGACACTAGCCTGCTCAGTGCATCTACGTAAGAGGTAACAAAATCATTGACTATTTATACACAGACACTAATTGCAATTTTAAAAGCCACAGGTGTGGGAAATGAACCTTTAATTGCCATTTTAACCCCTCTGTGACGAATGACGGACCCGGTCCGTCATGCCGGGCAAGTAGTTAACGCCGGATGATGGACCGGGTAATATATGCCTTTTGAAATACCCTGGGATGTCTTCTTTAAGAAATGGTATGCCTTTATGGTGTAATTGTAATATGAAGCCTGCTCAAGTGCTCCAAAGTGAGACACGGACGTATCAAAACTCATGAAAATTCACACTTAAAAACCTGAACTTGTCACGTCTCTTTTACAGCACTGTAACGTCACAAAATTGTGTCTAGGTCATACATTGGGCATATTGTTTTACTCAGAAGATGTAACTGAGCATAATTTGGGGATTTTTATGACAGCGGTACGTATCAAGTATAAGAAATACTCTGCAAAAATGCAACATATATGTAAAAATGCAACCCCACCCCCCACCACAAACATTGACATAAATTGGTGAAAAAATTGTGATAAGTTAAGGCACAATATACACTACATAAAATACCCTGGGGTGTCTGCTTTATCAAATGAAAGCCCTCTGTGGGGTTATTTGAACAGTCACACTGCTATAATACCCTAAAACATAGGCCCTTCAAATCCATCTTCGAAAATTCTAACTATAGAAACTGAAAGAGCCTTGTCTCTTATATGGTATTGTAGCTTTACAGAAAAGTGCCAAAGGCATTTAATTGGGGTATTTTTATACTCAGCAAATGTACCTGAACACAATATGGGGTTCTGTGTAGAAATAGCACACACCAGCTTTATGAAATACACATTACAAAAACCTTTTTATATGTGTATATGCCAAAATAAAGAAAAAGCACACTTTACTTCAATATTTAGCAGAGATTGGCGATGAAATGGCTACGTAAAAAGTGTCAAACTAGCCTTAGGTAAATAGCCTGTGATGTCTTTTTTTTTTATATATATATACTTTTATGTGGCAATTTTTATTTCTGTGATGGCTACTAAACCTACAAGGCAAACATACCAACTTCTAAAATTTTTGCAAATGGAAATTTTATTTAAGTCCTTGTATTTTGTGACCTTTCAAAATAAGCTGAACTCCTATACATATGATGTATATCAAGACACATAAATGAATTTATTTTGAATTACTTTTTCTAAGCTAGACATATTATGCACACGCTATTATTGCCAAAACTGTGCAAAAATTATTTTTTGGGGGGCTTTTTTTTTTATATATAATAAATAAGAATGTATCTATGTATATGTGACATCAAATTAAAACCCTGTTTGCCCTATAAAAAAACCGATATATAATATGTGTTGGTGCAATAAATGACAGAGATGCAAATTGCGTAAGACAAGCTTCTGAAGCTGTGTCCTTAAGGGGTTAACCTGCATGTGTCACCTTGTGTGTCTGTAACAAGGCCAAACATTCAAGGGTATGTAAACTTTTGATCAGGGCAAATTTGTTGATTTCTGTTATCATTATGATTTAAGAAGGAGCAAAAAACAACTGTGTGATAGTCATATGATCACTAACCCTTAAAGGGACTCTCCAGTGCCAGGAAAACATATCTGTTTTCCTGGCACTGCAGAACCCTGCAGTGCCCCTTTCCCTCCCAGCCCCATCCCATGTTGCTGAAAGGGTAAAACCCCTTCAGTGACTTAACTGAATCCAGCGCTGATGTCCCTCAGCGCTGGGTCAGGCTCCGCCCACGCTCCTCCCCCGCCAACGCCAGCTGGCGGGGGAGACCTAATGCTGACCTAATGTGTTCTAATACGGAAGTTTCTCTAGTGGCTGTCTGATAGACAGCCACTAGAGGAGGACTTAACCCTGCAAGGTAATTATTGCAGTTTATAAAAACTGCAATAATTACACTTGCAGGGTTAAGGGTGGTGGGAGTTGGCACCCAGACCACTCCAATGGGCATAAGTGGTCTGGGTGCCTGGAGTGTCCCTTTAACAAGACTTTTTTTTTTTTTTTTTGCATTATCAGTGATATTTTCAAAATCAATGCCAAAATTTCACAATTTCTGCCAGGGTATGCAAACATTTGAGAACAAGTGTATGCCCCTTTTAGAAAAGGCAGTTTTATATAGGAAGACAGCATGCAGTGTAAAGGGATAATAAGCATATTATTGTATTATAAAGATAATTCACAATTACAGTTTTAGACACAGAGTGCCAATTAATCCATATTTCTTACTCGTCTGGGTTTCATATATTTCTATAATGAGTGACCATACGGTGACCATAACAGTATCAGGCTACCACTACATGTCATTTCATCAGATTCTTCCTGTTAAAATACTTTCTGAATAACTCAAGGGGTACCCTAAGCACCATAAAATCTTTGCTATTTGCAGAGGATATGTATAGCAAGTAGATCCACTGTCCTGTTTCTATAACTGCAGAAATGTTCATATCTTGCTACAGTTGTAAAGCTATGTGCGTGTGTACCTTGGTGGGTACCTGTTCCTCAAGACCTATCTAGATTATAATGGCTTTTTCTCTGCTTCATGTGAAACAATCTGAACCAGGACTGAATGCAGCTGCAGTTATACAATTGTGTCTGGTAGCTTGCTAAACTGTCAATAAACTGATAATAGCCACAGTGCCACTGCTATCAGCTTAGGCAGCAGTTCCATTCATCTTGTTTGATGAATGGAATTGCTGCCAAGTATTGAACTACATGTTCCATAATACCTGCCTTCTCCAAACAGAATGCTAACATTCCAGCTCAAATTCAGCATTCTTCAAGGGAATTGTTTTTAATATCTATTCAAACTGGACATCTTGACACTCTTTTAAATCACATATATGCTTGCATAAGCACATGAATACACAAATCTTGAATTGAAGCCATGCTGCCATCTGCTGTTTTTACCATTGCTGTGCTTTAATGTGTTATTCTAGCCTCTGCTGTTTCACACAGAGGATTGCAAATGTACATTTTCAAGGCAAATAAGAACTAATTGGCCTGATGTAGTTGCTTATTCCCTATTTAGAAAGTAAAAGCCAGCCACGTGTCAGTCCCACACAGCATCTTTGATGTCCCCCACTATATTTATCCTTGTGTGTCTCCTTGAAGCCCACTTAATAAATGAAAAACCATATTGTAAAACAGTGTTTCTTACTCTTCAATGATGTTGGCAGTAATTTTTCATATTGTACAATAAAGTATTATACATACATAGCTCTTTGTTCAGGGTAAATGTAATCTTAGTTGTGCAGAACTGCAAGAAACTCTTATGTTACATGTGGTTAACTTGGATGGGAAGGAGGCTGTAAATCACTATTTACTTTTCACTTTTGAGGTTTTAGAAACTTCAGATGGGATTTCCGCAGTACAGGTTACATTAAGCAACATTACATAAATTCCCCACAAATGCACTCAAGAGATCGTCCAGGAAAAGATATTTTATTGAGACAGATTAATAGGAGAAATCACTGCAGAGACAAGTGAATGATGACATCTCATAAGTTAGGTTCAGTACATAGAGCCAGAGTCCGTATACAGCACACTGTCTTCCTGATGAGTATATATATTGCACTTCTAATAAAATAACAGCTCTGATACAGATAGACTACAATGTCCAGGCCCATCTCTGGTACACCGGTTGTGAAAAAGGTATACGTACTGCTTTATGATGTACACTTATACAAACTTATGCATCTAGCTGAATTGAAATCTCTGGGCTAACGTCCTCGGAGAAGCCCTTTCATAAATCTGTTGTATGCACTATTATGCAGTAAGCCCTGGACACAATGTGCTTGTAAAGTATATATAGAACTCTATTCATACAGCGCTATAAAAAAATAATGTGTGTCCAACACTCACACATTGGCGATTTGCGTTAGCCCTGTATTTCAGCTCAGTTAAAACAGTGTGGATGTTGCGTCCCAGAGTGTGACAATATTACATAAAGAGTGACATATCAGTTAGGGGAAGTGTTGATAAAATGAAGAGAGAATTGTGTATATGCAGATCTCTTTGCAATGTATTGATATTCACATGACTGCCTGGGGAACAGTACTGGTACAACAGTACATATAATTACAGCTGTGCTGCGTAGATCTATACAGGATTTCCACAGACCTCATAAGAGTAATGCACATATCAGGACTCTGCACAGAAGTGATATACAGAAACCTCTTAAATCTGGTAATACACACTTGAACTCAGGGAATTAATTAGAACAGGAGTGTAGGAGAATTGTCCTTTTCTGATCCTTAACAGAGCCTACACAGCAGTGATGTCCGGCTTGGCACAAAACTGATACACTGTGAAGAATAGCAACATACATGTGACTATACAGAGCAGGGATGTATGTAGGACTCTGCAGAGTAATGTTACGCACATACTGTAGGGTAACCAGATATTTCCTTTTAAATAAAACAATTACAAAACTATAACTGAACGATTAGCAATCTTCCCATGGTGTAAGCATCATTGGTGTTAATGTAATCTTGTCATTCATGTTAAGTATTGATTTCCCATATAGTGTCTTTTTTGGAAGATACATCTGATTATGATGTATATTGTGATTCTCTGCATAGTTGTGGTGTGCAGAGGTCTTTGCAGAAACATACTTATAGTAGATCCCACAGAAAAGTGATATGAACAGTAGACTAGCTAAATTAGGAAGAATATTTGCAGAGAGAATATATCTAGAGATTAGAGAATCGAACTTTGCATGGTACCACACACCAGATTCTGTGCAGTTATATGCGCAACATTATGCAGAGTACCAATGTGTTCAGGAATCTGCAGAAAGAACACCTGCAGAATTCTCTGCACGGAAATGCATTCCTGCACAGCAGTATTGTGCACAGGACTCTGCACATAAACGGCATACACAGAGCTCTGCAGAGCAGGTCAATTTCTTCCAGCAGAGCATATTCTAGAGATGCAGGAATGAGGTACCCACTCAGACAGACAGACACAGACCCCTCTTCAACACAGTGGCAGTGCAGGGGAAATCTCATACAGTGCCTCACTGAAGCAGAGCTCGGATCTGCTTGGATGTGGTATCATCGTGCAGGTGACGAGTTGTATATCTGATAGATAAAACAAAATGAAAAGTATTACTGAACAAAACAGAGCTATGCAATACAATGCAGACTGGTACGTTATTTCCCTATGAATTCCAACCTAAAAAATTCCCGACACGCACCTATCAGATTTTCAGGTACCCCCAAATTTTTTTTTTTTCAACACGCTTTTTTTTTGTTTTTGTTTTTGTAATCAATGTTAGTACAGCACAGATAATAACAAAGTTTCTCCTCTTGAGTGATTTAAACAGATGTCAATGATCACAATTATTATTTATCTATTAACCCTCAGGGTCAATTTTCTGAGCTGTGTTAAAAATCATGTAGACATAAAATGAGTAATGCATGGAAGTCAAAACAAACCTCACAATTTTGTGCTATTTAATTGCATGGCTCATTGCCGGACTTTGGAATGTAACTTAAAGGACCACTCCACACTTCCAAAATAACCCCCCAAACACCACGGTTTAGGTGAAATACCCCCAATGAATAGATGCATGCATATTTTTATGTATGTATTTATTGGGCGTATAGTCTGAGAGCTTGCAAAAGCTGCAGTTCTCATGACTGCAGCCTTTTTAAGCCCTCCCTTTTTTCCCAGAAGAGACTTTAAAGGGCCACTATATAGCCAGGAAAACAAACTCCTTAGGTCCCCCCACCCTCATGGCCCCCCTCCAACTGGTCTGAAAGGGTTAAAACCCCTTCAGCCACCTACCTTTCTCCAGTGCCGGGCTCCCTCAGCGGTGGGGAACTCTCCTCCTCCTGCCGATGTCAGTGCCGAATGCGCGCACGTGGCTCTCAAACCGCCCATAGGAAAGCATTACTCAATGTTTTCCTATTGACGTCAGCGTCTTCTCACTGTGATTTTCACAGTGAGAATCGTGGAAGCGGTCTCTAGTGGCTGTCAGGGAGACAGCCACTAGAGGCTGGATTAACCCTCAGTGTAAACATAGCAGTTTCTCTGAAACTACTATATTTACAGCTGCAGGATTAAAACTAGAGGGACCTGGCACCCATACCACTTCATTGAGCTGAAGTGGTCTGAGTGCCTATAGTGGTCCTTTAAGTCTACTATAGCTGGTCTTAGGTCTGCAAGTGAAGGGGAAGCAGGCACACTTAAGTAGAGTGTGCCTGCCACTTCCGTTAGCTCAAGGGAGCTAACAAAAGTAGAAAGGAATCCTCCCTGGCTGTTTGACGGACAGCCAGGGGGGGAGTTCTCACAGAAATCAGCACTTTTATAAACTGGAGTAAGACTAGTATACACCCTCACCTATAAAGCACTTCAGCCAGCTGAAGTACTTTTGGGGTGTGAAATGGTCCTTTAACAACTGCAGTGTTGCTTCACCTGGTGTATGGTCTGGGTAAGCTTGAAGCCAGAGAAGAACACATGATTGAAGTGGTGAATTAAAGCCACATACTGTGAAATATTGTCATTGTTTCCTATTTTGGCGTTAACTACTTATGTTTTATATTCCTGTCTTTAAAATTTTTTTTAAAATTATTTAAATGTATTACAGTTGCATATTTTTGTTATGTTTGCTTTAATTTCTTTATTATAACCAGTAAAATTTTGCTGAAGAGAAGAAAGGTTTATCAAAACTTTGGCAGGTAAGTAGTAACTGGGTATTCCCATGTCCTATATTCACTAAGGGTGGGGGTGGTGGTTATTTTTTGTAAATGTGACCAGAGGGATTGTGACCTCTGAGCATCCATTATTCTAGATCTCATTGGGCTGGGGGATCTTGTATCCTAGTCATTAAGTTATATTGAACAGGGTCTTTATATATGTTCTCAATGGCCTAGGGGTGAAAGAAGAATGGCCCCTGCAATGTGTATAATGTCTGTACACCCCACTGCATATAGGGATAGAGGGCTTTTTACAGATCCCTACCCAGTTTATTATTTCATGCACCATCTGGAATTTGAGCTTGAAGAAAGGAGTAATCCCTCATCAACAGTTAAGTTAGGGTCAAGAGGATTTTTCTTTGACCCAATTCTCTACCTTTACCATACTTTTTCATTTATTGATTCAAACAACATTATTTTTTTTCATACAGCAAAACGTTTAGAAAAATACTTTTTATCACTATTGTAATACTTTTATTCTATATAAAAAGTATTTATTATGCAAGAACAGTGAGAGAGAGCGGAAATATATTCATATGAATCCTCACACACTAACTAGCACGCAAGAAATTACTGTATTGTATGTACCTTAGAGCATTGAGAAGTCCTTCTGTGCTAGTGGATGGCTGGTCCTTCAGCACTTTTATACAACCTTTCATC